TGAGACCTCATGAGACTTGAAAGCTGCAGGATAAAGAGAAAGATAGTTCTCCCTGTGCAGTCTGAGACTTCTCACATATGGCAACTCCAAAACAAACTCCTACACTACAAATGCAGGAAATGCATGATACTAGCAATTCTGGTGTGTCATTTGTTAAACCGAATGCAATATTATTTACATTTCCTCCATAGTATTGGTGGTTGGCAAACAACACTTTACCAACTCAACGCATTAAAAATGTTGTTATTATTTTCCAGGATTACACATAGGTCACCTTTATGTAATTCAGATTATAAGTAGATGTACATTTCTTAAATACCTTATTGTGATGTATGTCTTGTAATTATGGTGATGTTGGTTTTAGTCAACAAAAATAAGTTAGAATTAGTTAAAGATTGTAAAATATTCCTAAACTCAGTTCCAGCTCAAAGTGACAGTAAACGCAGGAGCTACATATCTAAAATACATTAGAGTACCTTAACTGTTAACAAAAATGTATCTTATTTGTGTATCACTCGGCTGTAGATGCTCAAATCATCTCTGAATTGGTGCTGACACTGTCCTTCCTTCTGGGGGGTGACTACTTTTGTTCCCCATGGTCCCTGTGTGTTCTAAAGTAGTCACCGCTCCAAGCTCACTCCTGTGATGGACTACAATCTCACATTTAAGGGTCTATTCACGAAGCTGCCGAAGAATCTAGCCGTAGATTCGGCCGATCATTTGGTTAGCTTCGGCCACAGGACCCCTTCGGTTCAGTAGAACCGAAGGGCTGAGTCTCCTGCTCCCAGCCGCCAAGGAGAGAAACACTGCTTTGTCTTTCTTTATTCTGACACGGTGCGATGTCAGAATAGAGAAAAAAAAAATTCCCATTGAAATACATTGCTACATTACTATTGGCTATTTCAATTTGCAATAGCCTATAGTAAACTAGCATTGTACCTGCCCTCTGCTGCAGTTCTCCATCAGGTCCATCAGTAGAGGGCGGGTACAATGCTAGTTTACTATTGGCTATTGAAAATTGAAATAGCCAATAGTAATGTAGCAATGCTTTTCAATGGGGAAAAAACGTTTCTTTTTTTTTTCTATTCTGACATCGCTCTGTGTCAGAATAAAGAAAAAGAAAGACACAGCTGTGTTTCTCTCCTTGGCGGTCGGGAGCGGGAGGCTCCCAGAGCGCCCGGGAGAGTTTTTTTTCTTTCTTTTTTGCAGCAGAGCCCCAGGACAATAGGAAACTATTGGGCGGAGCTAGCTGTCACTGCTAGCTCCGCACAATCGTTTTCTATTTACTTTTTTTTTACTTTTTAAACTCTTTTTCTGTTCTGCTCGGTCCCTCTGAGGGACCGAGCAGAACAGCTGAGCCGAATGCCGCTAAGCAGCATTCGGCTATTCACTCACTGCTGTTCGGCATCTATGAGAATAGACCGAACAGCAGTGAGTAGCCTACCGGAGGGTCGGCTCAGCTTATCCAGATGTTGGATCGGCTGAGTCGAACTCCTTCTGCACTTCGGGTCGGCCGAACATGCTAAGCATGTTCAGCCGACCCAAAGCCATGTGAAGTAAGCCGATGTACAGCTGATTTCAGCCGTACCAGCCTGAAGTGAATAGCCGAACAGTGTTCGGCTCACTTCACTTCAGGTCGGTCAATCACTCGGCTGCCTGCGGCAGCTTAGTGAATAGGCCCTTTAGTTTACTTATTTGTATTGAGATTGCAATCTGTCACGGGAGTGAGCTTGGATTGGTGACTACTTTACAACACACACAGGAAACATGAGGAACAAAAGTAGCCACCCTCCAGAAGGAAGACAGTGTCAGCACCAATTCAGAGATTATTTGAGGATCTACAGCTTAGTGATAAACAAAAAAGATACATTTATATTTACTGTTAGGGTTTTTAGGGTTTTGATTCGTCATTAAACAATACAACAGGGCGGAGTTGGCTGTGACATCCTTGACCAGCTCCACCCGGTTGTTATTCATTAAGCCTGGACCTGCTAGAAGACTCTAGCAGGTGTCGGGCAATAGGAAACAGTTGGGCGGAGTTAGCTGTCACTGCTAGCTCCGCACAAATGTGTTTTTTTTTTTATTAATTAATTTTTATTTTCATAAAAGTATTTTTTTTTCTTTAAGTTTCCTATTTTTGATCGTTTTTAAAATCATTTTGCAATTTTTTTTAACACATTCTTTACACTCCTCTTCTATTCTGCTCGGTACCCTGGAGGTACCGAGCAGAATAGCCGAGCCGAATGCCACTCGATGGCATTCAGCTATTCAATCACTGCCGTTCGGCCCCTATGTGAATAGGGGCGAACAACAGTGAGTGAGCTGCCAGAGCTTCGGCTTAGCCGATCCAGATGCTGGATCGGCTGAGTCGACATCCTTCTGCACTTCGGCTCAGCCAAACATGCAGAGCATGGTCAGCTGACCGAAGGCAGCCAATGTACGGCTGATTTTAGCCGATGTGCGGCTGAAATCAGCCATATAAGCCAGAAGTGAATAGCCGAACAGCATTGGGCTCACTTCACTTCGGCTAGTTAATTCACTCGGCTGCCTTCGGCAGCTTTGTGAATAACTCACTTTGAATCAGTGCGCTTGGCTCGAGCCCTGTAAGACAATAAGGAAACACACTGCCACGTCTATGTACATTCAGGTCAACAGCCCACCTCTGGTAAACTCATCTGTGCTCTCGGTTTAATATAGCAAGAACAGTGATCAGATAGTGGATTTTCCATAGAGCATGAAATAATAGTACAGAATCATGAATGAAACATATCTGTAAAACAATATGGAAACACACTGCCATTGCATGCATACTCTTAGGTTAACAGCCCACCTGTATCATAACAGGCAGAATGTACTATGCATCCCTGTATAAAATGTACGGGACTAAAATAGCAGAACATACAGAGCAAGACAAATTAATCTAGAAATCAATCAATATTAACACTGCAGTATGGTAATCAAATCGTTGATTACAGTGCTTGCAAATCTCCCAACTGTCCCTCATGTGGAACCAAATCCATCTGTCCCTCTTTCCTCTTCAATTGTCTATCTGATCTACAGATATCTATGAAAATTGACTATTTACCTACCAAAACTGCATTAAACAATTTAGTTTATCTCTTAATTATCTTGTTTGTATTTGTGAAAAGCCATTATAAAGGAAAAGTAATGGTGAAAAACAACAATTCTGGGTTTACACAATCATTTTTGGCATACAAATTCTTAATTGTCGGCATATCTGGGTGCATGGCAAGTATTTGACGGTACCTAGGCTCTCCTGTGCCAACAAGCCATAGCTGTATATCTCTGCAGTGTGAGTGCCTAAATACATTGTGCTGGAAGGTGTCCGTCTTTCTAACCTCAGAAAGTTGGTAGGAATGTGCTTGTGGTCACATAGTATAAGCTTGTTTCGTGTACAGCAGCCATTTTAAAGTCTACATGTGCCACTCGTTTTGTCTTCATTAAAAAGTTCACTCACAGTTTAGGCTCTGGAAACCACTATAAAGGCTTATACAGTATCTACCACATTACAAATTATAGAACGTATAACAAAGTAACAATTTTGTTAGAGCATAAAATGGAACCAAACTCAGGGCACAAAGAGGTAGTTGGGTAAATTAAATTCCATGATAGCATTATAGTCTGGCAAAACATTCCTCGGTTTTCTTATAAGATTTTAACAATAGATTTATCTATTGTATTTAATATTTATAATATTAATTTATATTTATAATATTGATATTAATTTATATTAGCCATTTTTAATATATTAAAGCAATAATACTGAAAGTGTGTATTATTCCTTTTGAGTGAATTGGTACAGTCCCAATGCTTCTCCTGTTGGTTGTGTGTTTAGATGAAGCACTGAGATCTTGAGGAATGCTGAGTTTTACTTGCTTAGAAGAACATTACATCAGAATACATCATTATACAGCATACAAAGAGAACTTCCTGTATATATCAAAGATAAGCATGAACATATAGGGGTCTATTCACTAAGCTGCCGTAGGCAGCCGAGTAAATGACCGACCTGAAGTGAGTGAGCCGAACACTGTTCGGCTATTCACTTCAGGCTGGTACGGCTGATTTCATCGGCTTGCTTCTTGTTCTGCTCGGTCCCTCAGAGGTACCGAGCAGAACAGAAAAAGAGTGAAAAAAGTTTAAAAAAGTAAATAGCAAACGATTGTGCGGAGCTAGTAGTGACAGCTAGCTCCGCCCAATAGTTTCCTATTGTCCGGCGACTCTGCTGCTGTCAGAATTATTTTTTTACAAAAAACTCCACCCAGGAGAGAAACACTGCTTTTTCGTTTTTTTCTTTATTCTGACACGAGTGATGTCAGAATAGAAAAAAAAAAAAGAAATTTTCCCATTGAAAAGCATTGGTACATTACTATTGGCTATTTCAATTTGCAATAGCCAATAGTAAGCTAGCATTGTACCCGCCCTCTGCTGATGGACCTGATGGAGAACTGCAGCAGAGGGCGGGTACAATGCTAGTTTACTATTGGCTATTGCAAATTGAAATAGCCAATAGTAATGTCCCAATGCTTTTCAATGGGAATTTTTATTTTTTTTCTATTCTGACATCACTCGTGTCAGAATAAAGAAAAAAACGAAGACACAGCAGTGTTTCTCTCCTTGGCGGCCGGGAGCAGGAGACTCCCGAGGCGCTAGGGAGAGTTTGCTGTTTGGAGATCAGTGTCCCTGGTTAGCAGGTGTATTTCAACATCCCCGTCAGCCTATTTTTTCAACTCATTGGAGTCCAGAAATATTTGGAGAATGTTATGTAATCACATTGTGTCACATGATAACAATTGCTGTTTTCACTTACGTGACTGTTAAAGTGAGTTCTCGTTGCTTAAAATAACAGTTATTTTTGACAAATAATCATTATAGCTTAGTGAATTGCGTCTCTGATCTAGAATTCTTGATTACAGCTTTGCTTTGTCAGTTGCATGTGTACTGTATGTGTTTACTTGTTTATGTTTTTAATTTATAAGGAAGTGGAAGGTTGTTCCTTTATGCCAACACATCTAATCAGCAAGCTGGAGACACAGCAAGAATTTTAACTAGCAACTTTTTCCCGCCTGCTCGTGACAAGTGCAGAGTGCGCTTTTGGTATTATATATATGGACCTCCACAGTCTGGAAATCTAAGGGTGAGGATTATAAATCACAAGATTGAAGGTCTTAAAATAATCATATCTGTTGTTTAAAACTTCTTTGGAAACAGCAGTGGCTTGTTGCTGAATAATTAAAGGAGAACTATGGGGTTAAGGCTTTTCCCCACAGTTCTCCTTAGGGTAACGGGAGGACACAAACTAGCGGTATACTGAGATGCCACAGTATACTGCGAGCTACTGCCGCAGCTGAAGCGGATCCCGACAATTATGTCTGGATCCGCCCAGCTGCGTGAGTGACAGCTGGCTCTGCCTATCTAGAGGCAGAGCCAGCTGTACCCGCCCCCTCCCCGTCCGATCCGCCAATCAGCGCTGGCAGATCGGAGCGGGGGAATCCAGCCCCTCCCCTGTTACGGCAGAGAGCTGTCACGCCGGTATGTGTTCGCTCACCTCCCGATCTACTGAGCCGACCTGTGACAGTCTCATTGTCACAGGTCGGCTAGAACTATGAGGTGGGTGAAAAGCATTCACCTCATAGTTCTCCTTTAAAGTGTATGTACCCAGAGATCCTGCCAGTAACAACACTTCTTGTTTCAGTCTAACAACACTAAGCAGGCTTGCAATAATTAGCAACACTGCCAACCTTCCATGTGTGCTCTGTTAGATGGCTCATCAATCATCAGGTTGCCTATCAAGTTTGCAGGAGGCATTTGCAGACCTGATGGGTAAACCCAACAGCTCTCCGGAACAGAAAGTGTTGTCAATGGCAGGATCTTTATGTACAGACCTTTGCAGCAGATTAACAATAAATGATTAGCTTAATAATACATGACGCCAAACATGCTGGAAAATAGATTTCTTTATCACTCGTTATGGGACACAGTATTCAGTTATTCTAAAATGATTGGGTTATACTGCCGTCTACTGGAGGATTTAAAAACTGGAAAACAAAAAAGCTGTTGGGAAAAAGGTGAAAGATTAAATTTGGAGGTTTGCTAAATGCGCCTAAATATTGTATACCAGCTATGGTTGATTAAGAATGCATTATATTTTAATAACCTTGAACAGGCAATAGACTATTTCAGCTTCCAGTCAGTCTTATTATTTCCTGTATAAGAAAAATAGCTCTAGCTATATTAGTATAGCTGTATAAGAAAACAACATTGAGCAAGGCAGCATTCAATTAAATCTGTTTTTTCTTGTGTTGAACAGTACATTTTTCCAGTCCACCTCTTCTTCCTTTGTCAGGTCAAAGCATCGAGAAATCAATCAAAAGTACATTTTACTGTTAGTCCAAGGAAGAAATATCATTGTATACTACCATGCTTGGTCTTTGCCTTCATTGTTGGTGAATAAACAACCATACCATGAAAATAACTTTTTATTTTTATCGAATTAACAGTACAAACTGCCCAAGGCAGGTAATAAAAAAAATTCCAGATACAACATGGAAGCAAAAAATTGTCTTTGATAACTTCCCATAATTCTTTGCACATCAGAAATCAGGTGTTGGAATGCTAGCATTGTGAGCCAATCAGGCTATAATACATTGTTGTCATCCAAACATGCTGCAGGCACTGGAGCTGGAAAGGAAGTGTAGAATCAGACTTATAGGAAGGGGAGATATAAAGTTATTTCCTGCCTTCTGAAAGAACAGTCAGCATGTGGCTTGGTGATAAGGCCATATAATATCACAGAGCGATTCGCTGAAACCTACTTGATGGGAGTGTACCAGGGAGAGATAAAAGGCCCTGGCATGTGTGAATGAATGTGAGAATGATGATGCTTTGCTGAATGATCGGGACCCCAGTTCCTATCTCTCCCCATCCAAATTCCCTCTCCCTATTGTTATTATATTAGAAATTATGTATATCCCTATTTGTAAATAAACGCAACCATTATTTAAGATTCAGTTTTCCATCATTAAATCAAGGCATCTCATAACAAAGCAGATTCTACAGATGGACCTCACTATTGCGGTGATGTCCATCTATAGTATATGGTATGAAAAACAACTCCTGATAACTTTAGAATGTACAGTGTGTAAACCCTAACAATGAATTGCTCATATTTGCTCATGTTTGGACTGTTAAATATACTAGGGATGCACCGATACCGATACTAGTATCGGTATCTGTGCCAATGCCGAGTATTTGGGCCAAATACTCGTACTCGCCCAAATGCTCCAATGGCTAGCCCGATTCTTTCGGTATCAGCAAGACGGCCAGTGAGTCATTACACACTGCCTAGCTTCATGATTGGCCGGGAAGCTGGCTCCATGCTCCCTCATCACTTGTGACGAAGAAGCATGGCGCCGGCTTCCTGGCCAATCAGGAAGCCGGGCAGCATGTAATGACTCGCTGCCCAGCTTCCTAATTGGTCGGGAAGCTGGCCAATCAGGAAGCCTGGCGCCATGTAATGATCACCTCATGACGAGGGAGCATGGAGCCGGCTTCCCGGCCAATCAGGAAGCCGGGCGCCACGTCATTACATGGCGCCCGGCTTTCTGATTGGCCAGAAATCTGCTTGTCCTTGTAGACCAGTGTATTCAGAGCTGTCCTATGTCCTGTCCTCTCTACCTCTGTTATCTCAAAAAGATTATTTAGCCCTCCCTGTTCTTATCTTGGACTCCAAATCAATTAGTCCCAATACTGAGAATAATAAGAGAGCGGGAGTGGTTAAGTAGTTTAGAAAAAGGCAGTGGACAGGGCTCACTCCACTCAGTCCACTAAACTGCTGTATGTTGTCAGTCCATAACAGCAAAGAGCTGATGGCATTTCTCGAATGTAGCATAGTGGCTTAGTTAGCACTTCTGCCATGTAGCACTGGGGGTCCCGGGTTCAATCCCCATCGGCCTGAACATGCAAACTCTTAGCTATCTGCTATGAGTTTGCATGTCCTCCCTGTACTTACATGGGATTCCTTTGTGTACACTGGTTTCCTCCCACACTCTAAAGACATGGTCGAAGGTTAATTGTCTCCTGTCTAAATTGGCCCATCTTGTGTGCACAACAGGGACCTTAGACTGTAAGTGAATGGTCAGTATGTAAAGTGTTGTGTAAATTGTTGGTGCTATATAAATGCCTGTAATACATAAATATACTGTATGATTGTTGGGCCTTTTTTGCCCTGGCAATTACATCTCTCTCTTTGAGCTGATAGTTGCCCCCAAACCCATACAGCCAATATGAGGAGATCTCCCCCTCCCTGTTGGGATTTTCATTTATATTACCATGGTAAAATCATGGTGATTGCAGCAGAGGGAATGAGACTCCATGGGAGATTGTGTGGCCAGAGCCAGATACATTTCCCAGGAAAAGTCTCCCTTCTTGGTCCAGGCCACCAGAAAAGTCTCCCTTCTGGTTTCAGACCACCAGAAAAGTCTCCCTTCTTGATCAACACGTAACTGAACCATAAGCTGAAAGTGGAATGACCCTTTTCAAAACACCCAGCAAATGACATTTTTTCCATGAGCTCTCTGTTATCTAAATCCGTACAAGCACATTTCCTGATATTGGAACACTCTGTCTACATTAGTATTTTCACTTTCCCATCATCTTATTTTGTCAGTGGAATACAAGACAAAATTGATTGTTTAGGTGTTTACCTTTAGCGGCTTTTCAAAGTCATCCACTTTTTATGTGATGGGTTTGCATTCATCATGCGTGGAGTTCTTTAAAGCAAGACTGATTGGTTTCATCATCGGCATAAATAGTCTTCTTCCTCTAGTTGTCTCAGCCATCAATCAGTCTGCACAGTCCAGGTTACCCGAGACCAATCTGAAACCTGGAAATGATGATTAATGTTAATTTGAATACATCCTGCTCATGTTTTTTTCTATCTATGTTTATTCAACAGCTGTTCATGGTCACCAAATACGGACTGAATATCCTTTTGTGGACAGCTGCGGAGAGCATGGAAAGAAGCTGGATGTATGGCAATGTTATCTTGTCCAGCAGCAGCCCATTTCAGGTGGCGTTTGAAGCGCAGTTAGGCGCAGATGCAAGCGTTGATACTGCGTTGGACGATATATCATTTACATTAGAATGTTATATGGAAGGTGAGTCTATTGGCTTGGTTTTAACAGGTCATATTTTACATTAGCTGTTAGTCTGACAACATGTACAAGGAGCAGCTGTTGCTCACCTAAGGCTTGTGGTCATAATAGCACTGGATGGCTAGGGTTTCAAAGAAATGGCCAGGAGCCAATCAGTGTACTTCTTGGACATTTGATTGTGAAGACTGGCTGCCAGAGTGGACATACTGTACTTTGGAAATTCCTGAATCTTCTTTTGTAAAAAACTACCAAAAAAAAACCCAACCTTGTCTATGAATCTAGTCCTCCACTTACATTTGTCAGATTAAAAATGTAAACTAGTTTCCAAAGGCCAAGGCTTATAATAATTTTTTTGAGTGGCACTTTAATATATCATGTATTTTGTGTTTGTTTATTATAGATAAGTAACACAGGAAAACCATTTTATCACTGTTTCCTGTTGCAATACATCCTTATTTTAGAGATTAAGGGTGCCTTCACACTGGAATCGGAGTCAAAAACACAAGTCAACAGAGGAAAGTTGACTTAAGTTTGCATAGTGCATTGACATCCGTTGCTTTGTGTTATGTTACAATTTTTCGGGGGTGGGGAAGGGCGTTCCATTTGAAATGTAGAGCCTGTTTTTTTAATGCAGGGAAGGGCAGCGCAATACAACACACTGGTGTGAACTGCTCTCATTCACACGCATACATTTTCAGATGTTCTTGCGTTGGCATCCATTGAAAAACAGATGCCAACACATCTGGTGTGAATGGGACCTTAGAGAATTAACAAGAAGCCAGAAACATGGGGGTTCTCAGTGCAATTTCCAAATGGAAGTCAGTATGTAATGTACATGGCAAACAACGGTGGTGACATGCTGGATCGGGTTGAAAAAATTCCTTTTATGTAGTGAGTGCTGTCTTCCGTCTGCCCATCACTTCCAAAAACTTCCTGGATTCCCAGTGTGCATTGCATCTCTTTCCGTGCTGCTTGATGTGATACAGTCTCCATTTCTCAAGACTACATAACCCATCATGCATTGCTTCCATAAAGCAATGATAATGTTATATTGGTTAGATGTTGATTTGTAGTTTAGGCAGGCTCTGAGTGGTGACACAAGGAAGGACATTATCACAGGGCTGAGTGAAATTGTGTCAGTGCAATGAGGAAGTACATGATATAGACTTCTTCAATAAATATGTTTACAAACTTCTAGATCGATATAGTTATTAGGAGTGGGATAGCACTTATGGAAATTTAACATAGAAATACAGATTTATTTTTATTTTTTAAACGTAGATCCCCTTTAAATAAGCCTTCTGAAGTAAATTACAGAGTGAAATGCAAAGGGGGTGAAGAAAACTCCACAGATACATAAACTCTTTATTTCTCTCTTTTTTAATCTTCATTAGAGATACTTTATCTGTGTGAAAATCAATCATGTCTACTCATTTCCTTTTTTCTTCAGTTTACAAAATAAATTCAATCTAAGACTTACATAGCGGGAATGCAGCAAAGCCAAACCTTGGAAGAGATTTATCGCTATTTTCCCCATTCAGATTAGACAAACAAATTGGGATGAGCAAAGAGATGGGAGCAGATTGAATTCCTATAGAGTCAGTTAATGAAAACTGAGGGTCCGACAAATGCCTAAAGCATTTCATCAGGCTGGTGGCCTGCGGGAGTGAGATAAAGAAGATAGAGGACTGCTTGACGAAGGAATCACTGTTCGTTCATTTCCAAGGTTCCCTTTGTGTGAGAGTTAGGTTTGCTTGGTGCAGACGTACAACTTATGGAAGTTTAATCAGTTTAGTAAATAAGGTGAAAATCCATTTTATTCTCACTTCTCTGCACAAGAATGAGCATTTTAAGTGAACGCACCTTAACCTGATTTACCAAACTCAGTGAACATTCACTGTGAAAATAAAATATTCAAAGTGCTAAAGAAACTGTCTCTTCATATAGTAAATCAACCGCACAGAATCCCCGCTTAAAGTTTAAAGCCCAACTCTGGCCTTAGCCCCTCAACCACTCCCCCTTGGAGGTCCCACTTGGTCTTCTTCTTCTTCTTTGCCTCCTCAGGCTCAGGGGTGGTCCTCTTCTAATGCAGAAAGTAACACTGCAGAGTATGAGGTAGGTAGGTATACAGAGTTTGAGGTGGGTGTACTTACTGGCTCTTCAACACAGTTTAAGGTGAGTATATTCACTGGCTCTCCAACAGAGTTTGAGGTGGGTGTACTCACCTTTATGGCATCACCAGCTATTATTTTAGTAAACTATGCACATTTGAAAAGATTGAAAACAACTTTTGAAATTACATTAACACATTAAAGGAGAACTATGAGGCAAGTGATTTTCACTCACCCTCATAGTTCGAGCCGACCTGTGACAATGAGACTGTCACACGTCGGCTCAATAGATCGGGAAGTGAGCGGACACATACCATTGCTCGCTCACTTCTCGATCATATCCCTGCAGAGAGCCATGACTGTCACTCACAGCTCCCTGCAGGGATTCCCCCCTCTCCGATCCTCCAGCGCTGACTGGTGGAACGGATGGGGGAGGGGGGAGTACAGCTGGCTCTGCTTCTAGATAGGCAGAGCCAGCTGTCAATCACGCAGCTGGGTGGATCTCGACAGTAATGTCGGGATCCGTCCCGGCTGCGGCGGTCTCAGTATAGCTGTAGCTCGCGGTATACTGAGCTTTGGGCCACGGGAGGACGCTAGTTTGTGTCCTCCTGTGACCCTTAGGAGAACTATGGGGAAAAAAGCTTACCCCATAGTTCTCCTTTAAAGCTTATATGAGATTTTAGTGATTGGGTTTAGATCTACCTTGTTAAAATCTCTTGTTGAAATTAGGCTGCTTTACTGAAGCTAAAAATATCTGAAAATGTATGCACGCTCATTTATTCTAATTAAATAATCTTAGACATTTATAGTTAGTTTCTTAAATTATTCCTTATATTATTCTGTGTTAATGTCTGGTATTACAACATAATACAACGTTAAAGATAGTCCTCACCCTTTCCATCATACATGGCTTCTGTCCTAAAGTGAGCCTGTCACATCAGCAGCGTCCCGAGGCCGGGTGTCACCGGGAGCAGATAGCGGGTGACACCCCGCCGTGACGTCACCGCACATGCGCGCTCATCTTAGTGATAACTGCCGACGGCCATCTTGGTGATGCACGCCGGCAGAGGGAGGAGGGGGCAGTCACTCGGCGGGAAAAGGTATGCCGCTGGGTCCCCTCCTCTCTCCCGAAACTGTCGGGCGCTCAGTCCATGACCGAGTACCCGACTTTTCAGAGGGGGGTGACACCAAAATGACTGACAGTCAACCCTCCAATGGTTTCGCCCGGGTTCGGGCCGCACCCCCCTTGTGACGCCACTGTGTCACATACATAAACTATTTCAAACAAGGACATACCTGTAAAATACCAGAGGGAATACTTACCTCTCCTTAACTCTGCTACATTTATCAATAATGGTCCCAGCAAGTCCAGCGAAATTGACATTATCGATCTCCGTGTCGATTGTTGATCTCCGTGGTCCCTCAAAGCTTTTACTGGTTCCTCCTGCTGAGCTGTATATCAGGAGGAGAAGTAAATGACGTGAAAGTTAACAGGGAACCGTAAGAACTGTGAGGGATCACAAAAAGGTAATGGTAAGTATTCCATCTATTCTTTACATATATTCTTGCATGATTTAGTTTATGTATGTATCAGGGTCTCCTTAAAGAGATCCTGTCACCAGCTTAAAAAATTGCAGGTAGGATATAGGCCACTGTGGCATCATGTACCATCAACATCACTTCCCTGGAAATGGCTAATATGACAATGATGCGGTGGTACATGGTCCCAGCAAGACTGGCACACACTCACACTCAACAGTCAGCACCTTGCTTTAGGGGTTGTGTGGTGAAAAGTGATGTGCTGCATGTTTGGTGGACGTGCCCAATGTTGAGCAGACTCTGGACAAAAACGTTTCGCTTGTTGCGATCCCTTTTCCACGAGAAGGTTGCCAGGGACCCCTGGTTTGCACTTTTACACCTTAAACCCCCAAGCATCATGAAGACTCAACACAAATTGGCGGTTTTTCTCCTTCTTGCCGCCAAACAAACCAAACCACAAGCATGGAAGAAGCAACTGATCCCGTTTGCAGGGGTTAGTCATAGAATTGATTCTTGGACACCCAAAATAAATTGATGAAGGCTTGGAGCTCATGGATAGCATATGCTCATCCAGACATCCCTTCCACTACTATTTTACAGCCCTATGATTGACATGCTACACCTGGGGGGATCCTCCTGCCACCAGACTCTTGCTTGCATCCCCTACCTCTTTTCTCCTTTTCTCTATTTTTTAACCTTCCAACTTATGTCATACTGCGTAAGTGGCTCATGTCCAGACATTTCAATCGTTTATAACATCTGCACTTCTGTATCTGAAAAATGTAAACTATGTGACTTTTGTATTGTTCACAAGTTATGCTATATGCTTTATTGTTATTGTCAAAATGTAATAAAAAAACCTTTGATTTAAAAAATAAAAATTGCAGGTAAAAGCACAAAAAATCTAGTATTTTACATGCTTGCTTGTAATGTTTTTCCTTTACATAAACAATTTTTTTATTCACATGCAACGTGCCATTGAACTTGCTACAACATTGGATTACTCCAGAAAGGGTAAATGCCCTAGCGCAGCTCCCTCCCTCCTTGCACGTCAAAGCCCTTTCCTATTGCTGGAGCGTCTAATTCTCTGAAGGAGAATACTATAAAGAATACTTTAAATCTTTGAGACATCACTTCTAAAATTGAAAAATTAATAATCTACTGACAGGGTCTCTGTAACTTAGCTGTGAGCTGCACTGTGTGTGACTGGCAATTGGAGTCATAGTATATTCCTGTACATTCCCTTGCATTCTGCTTTTGCTGGAAGAGGCGTTTTTGTGTTTAACCTTCACCTGGTCATATAAATAGCTAAACAAATGTATAGATCCGTGCAATTAATCGTACTTTTGTCAGTGTCACCACTTCAAGTCAAGCAGGTTGACCCAGATTAATTTTGTTTCAGTCGGTCATGGGTGAATCAATAATGCTACCAATATGTTATGTTAATCCACACAAGAGGGGGAGAGGGCAGGAGAACAGAATTCCATGTACTGTATGTCATCTAGCCAGTATTTAACCAGATAAACTTCCACAAAAGGTCATATTAAAACCCTTTTCCCTTATATTGTTTAAAATGTATTTCCACTTTCGCAGCCAAATTGGGATAACGTCTATTTTATATTTGTTACATGTTCCCATTCACATAGCAAATGCTTTTTAAGGATTTTTAGGGATTTGGAGATCAGGATGGACATGCCCTTGGAATATGTTGTGCAGATGGTATGAAATGCCATGGCTATCCTTGCTCCCAGTGATAAGTGTAAGTGTGTAAGTCCTGTGGAAGCTCCAAGTCACAGGGCTTACTCAGGGCTGAGGACGCTGTTCCCACTCACATGTGACAGTGTTTTGTGTTTGGTGGCTATCACCAAGCACAAATGCTGCTATGTAGAAGAGAGGGGAATGATATGCATGCACCCCTCCCATGTGGGGAATCATTTTTCTTCTCTCCCAATGTGAAATAGGGGCAATTTTAAGCTGCTGATGAGGGCACTATTAAGCAAACCTGCTTGCTGCACAGTACAGGTTCACTTTAGGGCTGAAGTTGCTAAATCTTCAGCAAAAGTAAAAATCCTTCAGTAGGTTTTCAATTTTGACTGGCAGGTCCAGGGTCAAATTTGACAATAATGAAAACTGTGTTGCCAGAACATGTTGAAATAGAGATTTGAGAGCACCGTGTGCTCAATCCTTTGTTTAAATGTGATACTAGTAGTCATTACTGCCTAGAATGTTAACAGACTATAACAAAGCATTGTCCTACGCTGGTACACTGAGGAGTTTGTACTTATATGCTGTTTTGTTTCTGAGTTTTAGCTGTAGGGTTATTGTGCTATGGCAGAGACTTTGCTATGTACAGACACTGCTCTTAGAGAATCAAACATCAAATATGAACACATTTTTTGCCTTAGGATTTCATACCAATTCCTGTAACAGTGCACTAGGTCTAAAGCTGCTGCTTTTGCAGTAACATTAGAACTGTCACTCCATAGAATGACAATATCCTGCGCCCTGCAGCAACAATGCCTTCTGTATAATTTTAACTCCAGCAAATCCTTTTATTTTTCTTTTGATTTGAGTACAGTAGAGAGGATACAGAACCTCTGTCGTGCTTTAATGTCATCTATGTCCCCTTACCCTCACTTCCTCTCCCACTAACAAGGAGATAGGGAGAATTTACCTAGTGGCAACACAAAGAACAATATAAACTTGACATGGCTTCTAACCCTTCCTGACTTGAATAACACTTACTTTAATTGTTGTCTGTGTCCCCAGTTGGAGAGATTTAGCTCACTTTCTGTGCTGGGGAACACACAGGAACTGTGGTGAAACTTCAAATTCCATCATGTCTCTGTCTTTGGAGGTCATGTCTGTGGCTGTCAGAGTCTTGCAATTCCTTATGGGACTTGTCGTTTCACCACGGCTGAAGTGCCAAGGACGCCTATCTAATGATGATTCAGGACCAAATGAAAGTCGAGTTTTCCGATTTTTATTATAGTAGGGATAAGTTAGAACCTTTCTATTGATCCTGGTAACCATTATTCTCCAGACTCTGTAACATTTTGAACTGTCAATGATACAGCAATACAGGCGAGATCTTCAGATAGGGACACTAGTTTGGGAGAAAGCGGTCTGAGGGAGGATTTCATTTTATTTTGAGAGATCTCTCCAGAACTTTCTGTTGGGTCTTAATGCAGGAAGTAAAGATAAATCACCCCAATGGGAGGCAGCAAAAAAAAAAAAAAGTTAAAAAGTTAAAACATGATAGGGATCGTACTATTCCTTATTCTATCCAAAACTAACCCTGAAAAAAACAATCCCACATAATAATGGGCCTTTATGATCTTTAGTGGAATTTGCTGTCTATACCTTACTTATTAGGTTTACCCCTACCCCTTGCATAGCAATATATGTAGAGGGAGTTGCTATGAAGACCACAGCAGGGGGAAGTGACACAAAATATACCTGCAGATTCTCCTTTCTGCAGATGAAGCATTGTCATATTTCATGTATGGGAGACGCTGGCCTTTGAGGGGCCTTACAATTTGGGGACACCCTACTGACCACTCCTATTTTTAACCACACCCACAGGTGTGTAGGCACTGAGTGGGCTGGTGGGCATTGACTGAAGCTCGCAGGTCCATAATTCACAAATAGAAGAAAAAATATGCCGACAAAGAAATATGACATTGGGGACATTGCCAAAGGTGTTTTTTTTGCTAGATACTGATCCCTCAAAATCGTCAAATCAGGATGGATGGCAATCTTACCTTAAAATCAAACTAACTTTGGAAAACAAAAATTTGCTAGCAGGTAGACTTTGTAAATTTATTCTGCCAATAAACTCTTTAAAGTTTAAATAATGGAGCTAGGTTCTGGGATCATGTATGTCCAGCACTTGTGCACAGTAGTTACATCATCACCGGCCACCTAATAGTCAAAGCAAGAAGATGCCAGCCCCTACGAAGAGCAGAAGGAAATCTCAGAAGTAGCAATGGAGTGTAGCCAATGGAGCTCGAGCATTGCATTACTGGAAGGGACCAGGTCCAGACGTAAGTGCGCTATAATGTGCAAATATATACGGTGTTATGCTGTACATATTTGCATGTTGTGGCAAATGCTGTTGCAGCCACCCCATGTAAAGGTTCACTTCAATCTTAATACATCGCCCATACATTTTTCCTTGCATTCATATTACTAGAACAGCATTTTCTTGCTAGTCATTTCTTCTTCAGACTCCCCCATAATTGAACACTCGACATCACTTCCCCAGCAGCTTCTTGCTATAGACTTCCTATAGATTGCAGTAGGGTTGGGATAGATGCATTAATCATTTATGTCTGTATGATTGGAAGTTTCATACATAGACTGCGCCAGATGGACAAATAATTAGACTGGCTGAAGATGCAGAATCACGGGCTCAGAACACCAGATTGCAATCAACCGGAGGATTTTATACAGTGGGGTGGCCTGGCTTACTCAACAGATGCAAGGATAAAAAGTGAAATCCCTGCATAGGCCGGGTGTTCCCAACGTGTTTTCATGCGAAAATGTAGATTGTAATTGCAGTTTACCTTGAAAGAGAATAAACAGTGTTTTCCAGAAAACATTTTAGTTCTTTTTGCTTGTAGGCAGATAAATACAAAATATTGCAGATCATTATTTCAAATTTAACTTTTTGCAGACAATTTGTGGGTCTAATAAGCTCAGGAGCTACATACCTAACAGCAGAATCACAGGTTATACATACATACTTACGAATAATTGACTATACATCCCCTTCTCCTCTTCTAGTAGAAAGGGTGAGCTCTGGGTCTTCTGATTGCAACATGAGTCAGCGAGTGCAGAACTTATGCCATTCTTTCTAATACGCCCGCCAAGCTCTGCACACACTGAAACATTAACATGCCCTGTATTAAACGTTTGTTTAAATGTAACAATTATATACAAATCAAAAAATAATCATATAAAATTGAATTTATAAACTAAAATACAATATAGTATGACTTTAATTGTGGAGGAAAAGTTTATACATAAGAAAATTCAGCAAGTTATTGTTTTAATTTTTATTTTCCAGATCCAGGAATACCAAAGCCTACCTGCCCTGAAGACTTGTTCACATGTATCTATATAAAGCAGTGTGTGCCCCTGTCTGCCAAGTGTAACGGTGTGGAGGATTGTAAGGATGGAACGGATGAAATCTTCTGCCCTACAGTGATCCCCAGCACAGCCCACACACCGCAATGCAAGAGTACAGAACTCCTATGTTCTAGTAAACAATGTATCCCAGCTCTACTGTGGTGCGATGGAGTAATTGATTGTTTGAGGGGGGAAGATGAATATAATTGTAGTAAGTGTTATAGTTTTTTCTTGGTTAATTAGTTATAAGGAAAGAGGCACAATTTAATGATCAACTCCGTGCACAAGAAAAAAATACCCTTGCAGTGGGGCCCCCCAGTAGGGATAGAGGAATAGGGTGTAATACTTACCTTACTCTTCACTCTGGCCGGCTCTCTCCATCTCCTTCTGTTCCTGAACCCCCCTTTGAGGTGCTCTTGTCTGCAGCCACAGATTTACCTCCCAGGATAAAATGCAGGACTAATAGTTTTGCATTGTTTGTGATGACGCTGAGGGACTTTCCACAGCCTAGAGCACAAGGGAGAAGAGGAGAGCACTGTAGTTTGTTTTCTGTCTCATAGTTGGGATTTAAATTTGGACAGAATACAAGGCTCCATGTACTAGGTCTAAAATCCAAGGGGCTTCACAGAGCTATAAAGGTACCAGGAAAATGACAACATAAATATCCATCAAGTTTGCTCCCCCCCTTTTTTCAACACTTGGGGGTGGGGGTTTTGTTTGTTTTTTAACATTTTTGTCTGACTATAGACATATACTTCCAAGCATGTTTAAATTTACTTAGGGGGTTATTCACAAAGCTAGCCGAAGGAACAGCCGTAGCTTCAGTTGCAGGAGCCCTTCGGTTCAGTCGAACCGAAGGGCTGCTGTACGGGCTATTCACTATAGCCCGTACAGCTCCAGAAGGAGGCTGAGCGGCTCAGCCGAGCCGAAGGCAAATGCTTCGGCTTCTACTGAGCCGAAGTGACATGAATCGGGGCCAACGGCCGGCCGAACACCTCGCAAATGACAGCTAAGTGAGATCATGGCTGGCTTCGCCCAGATGTAATGACAGATCAGCATCCCCAAATGACCCGGGGACGCTGAACTGTCATTACATCCCTTTTTTTTCTTCTTTTACTTTTCTCCTAATTGAAGGAGAGATTCACTCAAAATGTGTGTAGACGATAATTTATTTATAGCTAATCCAGTCAATATGGATTGTATTTTTTTTTTAAATGTATGGCTATGCGTAAAATGTAGCAACAAAAACTGTTTTTATAACTTTGCAAAGAAAAAAATATTAGTAACATTGTTACAATTCTTAAATCCCCCAGTGAGCCATTTTCTTGTGCAAAATATAAAAAGAACAAATCTTTACTGTCTTTATTACCCTAGATGACCCTTGAGAAAATCTTTTATATTTTCTGACTTTCATAAAATTCTTTTTTTTTTAAATTAGCAGAAAAAAAAACCAATTGTACTGACAGTTTCATTGTAGAGGACCAAGAAAGTTTTGTTTCTAATGATTTCACTTACTTTGATATAGAATCACAGCTCTATAAGTCATGCCTTTACTTTTTAGTTGAAACTACTTTTTGCTGATGAAATAATCTTTTTTTTGTTTTTTGTTTGGGTGATGACATATTTCAACAAATGTGCTTCTCTGAAGAGCAGACAAAGAACTACAGTAAACAAGACTGATAATCTTTTTTTTTTTTTTTTAAGAAAATCAGTAAAATCTGTAACTAATTACAGGAATCATTTTTTTTCCATCCAAAGTTGCTTTTTAGCCAGAGATTATCATTTAATATTTTGAAGGTTATTCTGCTATATCCTTTCTCTTAAAGTCAAATTCCATTTTGCACACAACACTATATACACTGCAACTATTTTAGCAATAATTACTGCGGGTTGCAACCTGCTTCTGTTCTGTAGATAATAAGACAGGCCATTGCAATAATGTCCTCAGGCTGACTGCTACGTGGGAAAGCATGGAATCTGTTTAGCTCACATTTCTCTGATGTGGCGTGCCTACATCTCACTACGGGAGCCAACATACTCAAAAGGACAAGTGACAGGTAACAATACCGGCGCCTCCACGTGCAATATCGGCCAGTTTAAATGGTAACGAACACACTGAAGAGGCAGCTCCTACAGGTCAAAGGACCTTCAATCTGAGAGACAAAAAACAAAAAAGAGCGCCTCCATAGTGTAAAACGAATTTTAATGATAAAAACGACCAACTATATTGTTCTTACAAGAAGTCGGTAGTAAAAAGGCATGTAGAAAACAATGGGATGTCACATCATCTAGCAGCAGAAGTCTGAAAAGATGTGCAGCATCAGCGTCCACTGCCCCTGTGTGGTCTCGGTTTACATGTTTCTGGGGCACGCCCCCTTCCTCAGAACCTCGTTTTGATCATTAAAATTCGTTTTACATTATGGAGGCACTCCTTTTTTTTTTTGGTCTCTCATACTCCAAATGAGCTAGAGCCAGTGTTGAGATAAATATAAAGGTTGCAAGCTGTGTAAAGAGGGTGAACTGAGAATCCTAAGTGTTGATATGTAATCACACCCATGTTCACATGATCATATTGTATATAACACCGGATTTGTTATATACAATTTGGCCAATAGCTTGTGGATACCGGACCATCACACCTATATAAGCTTGTTGGAAATTCCATACCAATACCATGGAAATTAATATGGATGTCCCAACTATAACAGCCTCCACTCTTCTAGGAAGGCTTTTCACAAGAGTTTGGGTTGTGTCTGTGGGAATTTGTGCCCATTCAATGAAAAAAATTTATTTTAGGTCAGGTAACATATTTGTATGAGAAAACCTGGCATGCAATTAGCGTTCTGATTCATCCCAAAGGTGTTCAATAGGGTTGAAGTCAGGGTCATGTGCAGTCCATTTGAGTTTCTCTATGCCAAACTCACCAAACCATGTCTTTTTTAGAGCTGGCTTTGTGCACAGGGGCATTGTCATGGCGGAACAGAAAAGTGCCTTCCCCAAACTGCTGTTAGAAGGTTGGAAGCTCATTAACAGTATATTTCAGTAGAATGAATTAAACACAAAAATTTTAAAGTGTGTCCACATACCTTTGATCCTATAGTAGTTGTGATGGCCAGGTATACACATACCTTTGCTCATATAGTAGTTGTGATGGCCAGGTATACACATACCTTTGCTCATATAGTAGTTGTGATGGACAAGCATCCACATACCTTTGATCGTATAGTAGTTGTGATGGCCATACCTTTGGTCATTTAGCAGTAGTGATGGTCAGGTGTCCACATACCTTTGATCATATCGTAGTTGTGATGGTCAGGTGCCCACATAACTTTGATCATATCGTAGTTGTGATGGTCAGGTGTCCACATACCTTTGATCATATCATAGTTGTGATGGTCAGGTGTTCACATACCTTTGATCATTTAGTAGTTGTGATGGTCAGGTGCCCACATAACTTTGATCATATCGTAGTTGTGATGGTCAGGTGTTCACATACCTTTGATCATATAGTAGTTGTGATGGTCAGGTGTCCACATACCTTTGATCATATAGTAGTTGTGATGGTCAGGTGTCCACATACCTTTGATCATATAGTAGTTGTGATGGCCAGGTATACACATACCTTTGCTCATATAGTAGTTGTGATGGATAAGCATCCACATACCTTTGATTGTGTAGTAGTTGTGATGGCCATACCTTAGGTCATTTAGCAGTTGTGATGGTCAGGTGTCCACATACCTTTGATCATATAGTAGTTGTGATGGTCAGGTGTTCACATACCTTTGATCATATAGTAGTTGTGATGGTCAGGTGTCCACATACCTTTGATCATATAGTAGTTGTGATGGTCAGGTGTCCACATACCTTTGATCATATCGTAGTTGTGATGGCCAGGTATACACATACCTTTGCTCATATAGTAGTTGTGATGGACAAGCATCCACATACCTATAACATAATTAATGTATAAATAAATGCTGTTTGAGTTAGAGGGGGAAAGTGTTGGATCCGCAGCTAAGGCATTTCCCACAATAACCTGAACATACAGTATATGTGAGCCTCCCTTAAATACTGGAGACACTGTGTGATTCTTGATGTACGCTGATTGAGACTTTATGTTGTGACCTCCGAAAGAATAAACATGGATAAGAAATGAACTGACACTCTGTATGGACTTAACTTTGTGTTCCTGTCCTCAAATGCTTGAACTTTTTAGCCTGACACTTTCATTACCATTTGATGCTTATTTTCGCACACTAACTTTGTTCTCTTCTGTCTTCGAAAATGCTTGTCTGCGTTAGTTCAGATCCTGTCTATATATTTGTTGAAAAAACAACTGACAGGTTTTCCCACCAACAGTTTGTCATGATGGTCTGCAGAAATGTGAGCACACATCCCCTTTTACTTTTTATAATGGTGCGCTTACACAGGCACCAGACGGGGGAGTTAGGTGCAGGTGTTCAATAAGTGCCAAGTGCACCCTAATGGCCACCAAGTGCCCCCCAACTGTTGTATCTGACAGTGTCCTGAGTAGAATGGCTTAGCACACAAATTTGGCATGCATTGACAACCTGAACCAGCATAACAAAAGCTGGATGTCTTGATTTCGTAAAAGAGTGACTTTACCTTGCAGACACCCAGCATTTACTGAAATCAGTTATCAGAGCTTGAAAAAGTTTACCAAACTGGCGCAGGCAATTTAACCTGTAATGCGCCGTTTGAGAAAAGGCAAGGGGCTGCAAATAACCAATGTAATATAGCAGGGATCCCAACCTGAAAAAAGTAATTTCAGGGAGGTGCCCTTCTCATTTCAGAGAGGTGTCCTCCACCACCCCTTTAAAATGATGGCAGATAGCAAAGAAGCTAATGCTTCCCATGCTATCTGCTGTTTTGTTTTTTAGTATTCTGACAGGTGCTGCGGTCAGAAAAAAAAAACAGCATAGGAATGAATAGCTAGATTGCTATTGGCTACTGCAATTTGAAATAGCCAATAGCAAGCTGGCTATGGCACCCCCCCCCCTCTGCTGCTGTCACTCACCAGAGGAGGACCTGATGGAGAACTTCAGGTCCACCTCTGCTGATTGACAGCAGCAGTGGATGGGTGCATAGCTAGTCTGCTATTGGCTATTGCAAATTCAAATAGCCAATAGCAATCTAGCTATTTATTTCTATGCTGTCTTTTTTTTTTTTACTCTGACGGCGGCTGTCAGAATAAAAAAAAAAAAAGACAGACAGCAGGGAAAGGTTTACTCTGCTAGATAGCGGAAGACTGCTGGAACATGCAGGAGAGTTGAGATGTCTAATTATAGTAAAGTGAATTTTGGACATTATAGAAGGAGATGGTGAAAATAAGAATAAACCTGGACTAAGTCTTTCAGTTCTGGTTTGACACCCGGAGGTTGCAGGTGCTTTAGCTGCACAGGAGCTGCTGGCTCTGTCACATACTAATTAGCATCTTGCTTGGCTTCAGGCCTAGTAAAGTAATTAGTCTCCCTTTCTATTTTTCTCTCTCTCTCTCTCTCTCTCTCTCTCTCTCTCTCTCTCTCTCTCTCTCTTC